GCTTCTCTTATACTCTCCAGACTGTAGTGCGTGATATATTGACTCCTTGAAGACTGAGAGCACCAGCAACGTCAGCGCAGCTCTTCTCTCGTCCGTATCTATCACGTCGTACTTGTTGGATTATCTGCTCCTTTACCTTATCCGTCTGCTTTGAAGGTCGGCCAGAGCGAGGGGCGTCTTGTACGTGCTCTGGGAGGATCTTAAGAGGGAGAACGTTTGGCTCGAAACCAGCCTCAATAGCTCTACTATAGATACGATTGACCGTACGAGGATGAACACCAGTAAGTTCAGAGATCTGTGATGTAGACTTGCCAACAGAAGGTGACTTTAACGCCACAATTAAGGTGCGGGTGTAAGGATCAGTATTAGGAGACATTGTAACGATAGATACAGACAAATCGTACAGCTACTCAGCTCAAAGGTGGGAGTTGCGCCAAGAAGAGTTATGCCGAAGCGCCGAGATTAGCGTGGGACAAAACTTTTGTGAGGCACCTCCGTACTGCATGGTTCGATTCCGGCGCCCGGCCGACGGATCCCAAGGCCGCTGACGAGAAAAGCACAGGGGGTTTCTTTATCGCCGACCGTGCCATGCCCCATGCGGCTAGCGTGGCCCCTGCAGCCCTGGCCCTCTCCACCGCCCCCGCATCTGACGAGACCAAGACAGCACGGCGCGGATCAAGCACCGGAGCTCCGGACTTGAATCCCCATGGCTCCCCATGCCGTGACCCTTGAAGCAGCCCGAGCCGGCCTCGTCGACATCGCCCCTACAGCACACGTTTGTCAACCCGCTGACTATCGTTGTGCGACTCAACCATCTCCATCACCATGGTCAGCCACCGACCGGCTGACAGCGCCACGCCCCAGCCACCCATCGCCCCCGTCGTCAAGCGGAAGCGCCGCACCTCGTGCCTGGGCGAAGAAGAGCGCCGCGAGCGAAAGCGCGCCATTGACCGTGAGGCCCAGCGCTCGCTGCGCGAAAAGACCAGGACACACATTGCCGAGCTCGAGCGCACCATAGAAATCCTTCGAAACCAGGACCGCAACGGCGCCACTGCCAATCTGCTCGCCGAGATCGACGTCTTGCGCGCAGAGAACGAGCGCCTGAGAAATGTCGTCGAGAGCGTCAAAGCCATCGTCGGCTTCGACATGGCCCTGCGAAACACGGCCCCAGCAAACGCAGCCAATGCTGACGGCCAACATGATTCGCCACCAGCCACAAGCGCCGGTACGCACACTCCCCATTGTACTAACCCTTCGCCAACCCGACGAGCAAACGCGAGAGAGACAGAAACAGGGCTCATTCGACACGACAGGTCGCCCATCGTCTAAGCTGCCCACACCCTCGTCTATCGCTGACGAGACGCCATGCACATGCACATCCCTCAACGCCAACGCCAACGTCAACCCACCCACTTGTCTAGACCACCACCAAGTACTAATGCCAGATCACCTCGATCTCGACGGCATGAACATGATGATAGACGTGGGCACACTAATTGCCGCAGGCCCAAACGTGCAGCAGAGCCTGCCTTTTCAACCTCTTTTACACACTTCGGAAGAGGACCAAATTGAAGAGGTGCAGTGGAGCGCTTCATCACAAACCCCGTCGTGGATAACACGTATGGAAGAGGTACTTTTTTTCTTTGCTCGGTACACACCCATCTTGTGCCACACACTCACTAATCCAAACTCAGGCCTATGGCTTAAATTTGTCCTGTCCTTCTCCCACCACCCTCCATGTTGGCGTTCCCAACAACGTCATCATACCCACTTCGGGCGACGGCTGTCATTTATGGCTAAGACTCAATGAGCTCTTTAGCAAAGTCTTCAGTCACTGCCCACAGAGAAACACCTCATCGACCCTCGCAAGAATAGACCAGTTTGAAGTGGGCTTGTTATATATGGGCATCAAGAATGGCTGGGACAGCCTTTCACTCTCATTGTCGCAGAGTCCTGCACTCACCATCATCAAGGAAGTCGACCAGGCAGCTTTTAGCCATTTACCAAAAACCTGCAGATTAGCTACCTTATACAAGAGTTTTAAGCTGCTAAAGGTAGGCCGTTTTGCTCGTGCCTTCTCAATGTGCAATCATGCTAATATCTGTTTTAGTATTATCTCAATGCAACAAAGGAACAACTTGGCAAAGTGCCCGCTTGGCTACGTCCCAGGTAAGTGTTTCCTTGATCCCCTTGCCTCTTCCCTTTCTATGTGCTCTATAATGTTCACCAACCCAACACGGACCCCTCAGCATGTCCCAAGCCTCGACACAACACCCCATCATAGTCGACTTCTTCGCCTGGCCCACATTGCGCTCGCGCTTCCTCGCCGAGCACGCCACCCTCGGCAAAAACTCCGAACTTGGACGCGCATACACTCGCTACCTCCGCTTCGAGTGGCCCTTTGCCTTTGAAGATGCCTTTTTCCTCGATAATGTCAGCGGCACCTATCGTCCCAGTCCGCTGTTTGAGCGCTATCATCGGGACCTGAAGTATTGGAAAATGGACGAGGCTTTTTATCACCTCTTTCCCCAAATGAGGGCCGATATTGAGGGTGATAGGAATAACTATGGCGATGTGAACGGGTAAGAGAGAGAAATTTTTGGTGGCGACTATCATGTATCTAACCAAGTTGAGCCAAATATAGTAGCTAGGTTTTATTAGTAGCAAGACACAAACAAGAAGAAGAATAAGAAAGACTACCTGTGCTAACTTGGAGGATCAACTTGGTCCAACAAACAATTAGACTGTCTCTCTCTTTGTCTCTCTCTCTCTCTCTCTCTCTCTCTCTCACACACACACACACACACACACAAACATCACGTCAACAACCAACAAAAAAACCAACGTTGAAATTTTATCATCATCATTCGTGCTATCCCAACACCCACAGGGGTATCAACCGACACGAAATACTTTTTTTTCCCCTCCACCCACTCTTTTGTGCACCGTGCCAAAGCGATGCTGCTGCTGCTGCTACTACTGCTGCTAATTGCGACTTTTCATGACTCGGCCCTGGTCATCCCCACGCCTCCGCGCACCTCCCATCTTCTATTACTTTTTGTCCAAGTCATAACAAGATGGCTCTTCATGTCATATTCGTGTTGAATCTTTCCCCACCACATTTCACCCTGGTCCGTGTTCAGGCTTCAATGCGCTGGTAGAACAAGATATACGCCACCTTGTTGTCCCGCACGTTTTCCTTGGGGAGCGGCGTCCTCTTGCCTGTTGACGTCGGCGTGGCTGCGCCGTTGACCACACCACTCCACTTCTTGGTGCCATCCTTCTGTTTCTCAGACCCATTGACCTGGTTCCAGCCTCCTTTGTCAGCCTCGTCCTCGTCCATGTCGATCTGGGCAAAGAAGTTCTTGTTCTTCCCAGCATCGCTCTTGTGCTGCTCGAGGGCAGCAGCCAACACCTTGGGATCTTCTTCAGCGCCACCTTCGGCAACTTCTTCGGCGCGGATGCGGCGGATGATGGTGTCGTCCATGCGGATCCACTCCTTTCCTTCCTGTCGTCGTAGATCCACCGTGTAGTGACCGCCACTGGCGTTCTTGCCGTGGTGGTAGACAACACCAGTGAGCCTGTACCGAGGAAATCCGCCTTGGACCTGGTAGCTTCCTCGCTTGTGCAGCGGAAATACCTCCTTGGGAAGCTCCAATTCCAGAGGGTATCCAATCTTCTTCCAAATCTTCTGTGGACCCTTCTCATCGTAGTGGAAACGCTTCAGGTGGAGTATCAACACGGGCGGCAGCGATTCAATGTGCACTTGCTTTGTCGATGCCTTGGCGCCACGAGCGGCGCCATCCAGTGTCTCCAATCGCGTGAGGTTCTTGAGGGCGTCGGTAATGTTATTGGTGTTGGGCTCACCAATGTCGAGTTGAAGTGGTTGGTATGGCTCAAGCGTGACTGAAGCCTTTTCACCGGGCCTCTTGTACTCTGAGCGTAGCTTGCCACCAAATATTTTGGTAATGGGGCTTTCAATGTCAATTGCTCCAGAGTTTTGGGTGACGGCCGTCTTCTGCTTGGGACCGACTTCTTCCCAGCCCCCGTCAATGGAACCTGATCGCTCGCTCTTGTCAGATGTAGCAGTGCCTCCAGGCTGGCTCTGTTTTCCACTCTTGATTATCTGAACACATTCGTCGTGCAGACCAGCAAGCAAGAAGCCCAGAAATTCTTCAGCGTCTTCCTGCTGACCCCTCTTCATGTTATCGAAGCGAGGCAGGCGCTTGGTGACGTCGTATACGTACTCGGGAGCCAGTGGGTCACCGTATTGCTCTACATCGTTATTCTTCAATCGCAGACGGAGTTGCTCAACAGTAGCGGCGGAATCAATAAGTTTGAAATCGCGCAGGAACATAATCATGGCGTCTATAAGGGGTGTCTCGGACTTGAAACTGTGCACAGCGCGCTTCGCAACCTGGTCAAGGAAATCGTAGAATGGGACGCAGAAAAGAAGCACTTGGAGAATCTAGGGCCCGGTTAGTAACTAGCGCACAAGCACCAAGGGGGTGGCAAAGCTCACCGAATTCATATAACACAAGTTGCCAGAGTTGACAAGACCACGCGGCTCAATAAACGAAACCTTGTTCTCCGAATCGACTGAAAAAGAGGCCAGGACATCGGCAAGGGTATTGCTCTTTTGTACAACAGGTCCATTAGTAGTAGTGGGCACAGAGTTGCTTGGCGGGGCAACTGGCTGGGCTGCTTTGGAGGCGTTCTTTGCCCGCAACAGCTCTGCCCACGACTTGGGCGCGGCTGGCTTGGGCTTTTCTTGGGCATTTGCGCCTGAATCTTGGGGGGCAGCTGCCACGTCGCCCACCTGTGACACGTCTGGTTGAGGTGCGGCGGGTGATTTGACAGACTGCTGCGTGGTGGAAGCTGCACTGGATGCGTTCACAGCCTTGATTGGAACACGGGGCACAGCGGGTATGGTTGGGTTGCGGGCGTGCTTCTTCACAGCATCCACGGGCGGGACAGCTTGTTGTGTGCTCGATGGTGTGGTGGCGGACGGGGCTGTAGACTGGGCCAAATCGACTTCTGAAGGGGGGTGCGAGGTAGAGGGAGTGTCGACTTCGGCGTCAGAGGGCCCCGCAACCGTGGACGCCTGGGACTCCTCGGGTTCTTCAGTCGGGGTTCTGTTGCCCTCTGTGTCTTCGTCGGACTCGTTGGAAGCATCCTGGTCGCCGGCCTGTTCGCGCGAGGGCAGAGCCAGAGACTGCTCCTCGGTCGACACCGGGGCCCTTCGCCGTCTCCTTGGTCGTGAAGCGCGCGCGGGGAAGTCGGACTCGGGCACAGACAGCCAGGGCAGGGGCGGATAGAATGGCTTGAACGTGATGGAGTGCGGGGTGGACGGGGCTGGCGGCGGCGGCTGCTTGGACTCGACAGCAGAGGGCGGGCTGTCGAGGGCGGTCGGCGGCTGGGGAGTCGGCACGGGCACGTGGACGTGCGAGTGGAGCGCAGGCGTCGAGGGCGGCTGCTGAGGGGTCGGCAGGCGAGCGACGGGCGGGGTGCGTGAATGGACAATGGGGGGCGTCTGGCCCATGGCGCGGTTCACGGGCGGCACCATGTGCAGGTGCGACGAGACGACGACGGGCGAGGCATGAGGCTGGGGCTGGAACTGGCGCGGCGGCATGGCATACTGGGGCGGGGGCGGCGGGGGCTGCTGGTACGGATACCACTGCTGCATGGGCTGCATGTGCTGGGGATAGGCGTGGGGAGGGCCATACTGCTGCAGGTGGTGGAAGGGCGCGGCATAGGGGTTGTGGTGGACGGGCGAGTGTGTCTGGGGCGGCATGTGGTGGTGGTAGTACTGCTGCTCGGCCTGCCTGCGACCAGGCATGTAGGGGCCGGGCATCATGGGGGCTGCGAGACGCGGTGTTGCCTCGACAGTCGGCGCCGGGCGGGAACCAAGCAGCCAACTTGCGAGGCAACGCGAGGGAGCTGGCGGCGCGGCGAGGGCGGGCGCAGGCGGGCGATGGGGGCAGAGGGCGCGGCGGGGGCGCGGCCGTGGGCGAGGGCGAGGGCGAGGGCAACTATGCGGATGCGGCACAGGGTCGCGCGACGGCCGTGGGCGAGGGCTGGCGTTGACGTGCGGATGGGCGAGTCGACGATCGCGGGGTCATCGTATCACGACGACATGAGCGCAGCAGAGGCTGCCCGCAACAAGACGAGACGGGGGCGGGGGGCGGGGGCTGGGGTGATGGCGGCGGTGGTGGCAGTGGTGGTGGTGGTGGTGGGATGGGGGATGGTTCCTTTGGCGGGCAGGGCCGTGGAAGAAGGTCGAAAGGCCGTCTGCCCCCCAAGGCCAATCGTCGGCGTCTGTGCGGAGGCCCTGTCGTCAGAGAGCCATCGTCAGACGAGCTGCGAGCACCAAGACAGCGCGCGCGCGCACAATGGCCATGCAGCAGCAGCTTCTGCGCTGCCGGCCGCGCGATTCGATGCCGCCGCCGTGCCTGGTCTTCTCGTCGCGCGCGCGCAGCACCAGAGCACGGCCAGCGCGCACAATTGCCTGCCTGCCTGCCGCCGCCTCGCCATCGTGGGCGGCGGCGGCGGGCGTCTGGCCGGCTACCGGGCCTGGTCACGTGACCGTCCCCCCCCAGTCGTCATCAAGGCACTCGTCCCCAACCGCCACTCCCTCGTCCTCCTGCCTCTTGTCCCCGACAAGCACCCGCTTGGGGACCCCCAACTGTCTGCAACCCATCCATCCCCAACCCCGCCAGCTGCCTCTTCACCCCCACCCCCCCCCTCGTTTCGTGTGTTTTCCGCCGCCGTCCGACCATCGTGCCCTGCTCGCCGCCGTCGTCATCGTCACCGCCGCCGTCGTCATCGTCACCGTCGCCGCGCGCTATCGTGAGCCCTTAGCTGGGAGTCATGTCTAGCAACCCCCCTGCCGCATCCTCGTCCAAGGCCTCTGCACTCTCTGGCCCTCTTTCGCCCGCCCAGAGCCAGACACCATCCATCAGCACCGCCAGCTTCTTTGCCCAGTCGCGGGGCAGCGGAGCTTCGGCGCGCTCGTCTCCTACGCCTCGCAACAGCCAGCAGCAAAAGAAGCAGCACAAGGGCTCCAAGCGCTTCCGCCAGACCGACGAGGATGCAATTGCCGAGTCGCTCGCCATGCGCTCCTTCAACAACCGCAAGGGACAGACGTCCATCACCCACTTGATGAACTTTAGCCTTCCGCCACGCCCAACCAACCACGCCCACCACTCGCACGGCCATGGAAGAAACTACCGCCGTAATCCAACATGGGGTCTTGGATCCGGCTACCACGCCGTCGACAAAGCCAGGCAAGTAGCCCGTCCCCTCTCCCACCCGGCCTGCCTTGGCTGACGTCGCCCAAAGATACGTGCACGCCAACTACCGCTTTATTGTCGACCCTCGCGGCGACTATCGCGCTCAGAGCGTCGATGCTGATGTCCATTTGGACTGGAATAATGTCATGCAGATATTGGCATCGGAACTCTCCCAGGAAGCATCCTGCCCCATCTGCCTCGATACTCCGGTAGCCCCGCGGATGGCCAGGTGTGGCCACATCTTCTGCCTTCCTTGTCTGATTCGATACATGCACTCGGAAGATGAAGGAAAAGCCCCCGAGAAGAGGGCGCGATCCAAAAAGTGCCCGCTGTGCTTCGACACCATCTACGCTTCCGAGACCAGGCCTGTCCGCTGGTACACCGGCCAGGAGGGTGAGCCCCCGCGCGAGGGAGGCGACGTTGTTTTGCGCTTGGTAGTTCGGTCAGCGGGAAGTACTCTGGCCATGCCGCGCGACGGTGCCGATGCTCTGGGCAAGGACGAAGACATACCTTGGTACCATGCCGCCGAGGTAACCGACTATGCTCGTGTCATGCGAGGCGGGGAGGACTACATGCTCGAACAACTCGACCAGGAGATTGTCAAACTGGAGCAGCAGGGCAAGGAGGACGAGGTCATGTTTGCCGAAGACAGCATGGAGTGGACAAGGAGGGCAATACGAAGCATCCAAGAGACCAAGGAGAAATTCAAAGGCATAGGGAACCCTCCCCAAGAACCTGCCAAACCTGCCGAGCCCAAGATGAAGAGAGTCCCCGTTGTGTTTGATGATGAAGGAGCTGCGCCAGACATGTATCGTTTTCAGAACGCCTCCAAGTCAGGCCACGACTTTACTCCAGTACAAGCCGCAGCAGAGTCGTCCGCTACTTCAGTACCGAAAGATCGAACCATGTCCGTGTCGTCGCATTCATCTGCCACGAGTCATGGCATGTCTTTGACGCTCGCCGAGCTACGCAATCGACAACAACACGAACACCATAAGACGCCGTCTGAGTATTTCTTCTACCAGGCTTTGCTGCATTATTATCTATCACCGCTGGATATTCGTATTTTAAAAGCCGCCTTTGGTAGTTTTGCTTCTTTCCCGTCGACCATCCTGCCTCGAGTAGAGCACGTCTCTACAGGCCATGTTGTAGATGATGAACTGCGAAAGCGCACAAAATACCTGGCTCACCTGCCATATGGCTGCGAGGTGGGGTTCCTCGAGTGTGATTGGACAGATACAGTTGCCCCGGAGATTTTGGAGCGATTCAAGCCGGAAATCGAGCGGCGACGCAAGAAGCATACAGAAAAGGAGACCAAGGAAGAGAAGGCAAGGCAACGCGCGGAAAAGGCCGAGTATGCCGAGTTTGCATCGGCACGCAGGAGACGGCCAAGCATCCCAGACAGATTCTCTGTTGATGACTTTCAGCCGCTGGCATCTGCAAGCGGAACCGAGGCCCAGCCAACCGCAGACGCTGACAATACTTCAACATCGCCGCCCTGGCCTCCGCGTCGTGGCGATGGCTTCGCTTCCTTGGCATCCCCTTCTACAAGTCCATCAGCGCCCCGAACTGTGTGGGGCACTGCTGCTGTTGCAGGGACATCTCCAGTCATGGCGCCACATGACCATCATGATGGCGACGACGGTTGGCTGCAAGGCTGGGAAAAGGATCTGCTTGGAGAGGAGGACATGATTGCCCAGGCACAGGCCATGTCACTAGCCGAAGGTGAGGAAGTGCCCAAGAAGGCGGGTGGCAAGAAGAAGAAGGGCAAGAAGATTACGCTTATGAGCACAAATGTACGGAGAGGGGCATGAGGAGAACAGGTAGACAGAGGGTCAAGTGCTTGGGCATCACTGAGTAGCATGGCGCGAAAGGGAGCAATCAAAGCATTGTAGTCAATCCCATACAAGTCGAGTCACGCGGCAAAGTGACAGGAAAAACTCGTACGAGCTTATTGCAATGCTTCTGTTGGTGATGGTGTGTCTTGAATCGGCATGTCTAGTGTGCGTAGTGTACCCAACGGGTGCGACTCTAGCTCTTGTGACTTGATTTGATCTGACTGCACTGTTCAGTAACTATGCAAGCATTGGAGCAGCCACCTCTGTCTCATGTAGAAAAAAAAACAGGGATTTTGCTGTCCAGAGAAGGGTGTTCTTTCAGATATAGGATTGGAGGTCGAAGCGTGCTCCCAATCTTTTTTTCCCATGCGCTGCATCATCCTCTCGTTGCCATTACATGTAGAACTTTGCTCTTGAATGCAGGCCTGTGCTTAGTAGAGGCTCCTGTCCTTGACAAATCATCGTGTTTTCATAGCGTGTTCTACTACTTCCTGCAGTCCATTGACTAGGCGTCAAGCTCACTAATAGAGCTCAAGTCTGGAGGGCATTGTGATATCTTATTCAGCGCTCTGTGGTGTAAATAGTCAATCATAATCTGTCATCCGAGAAGAGGGGTATATAGGCCATGATGATACGATAATATCGAGCGACGATACACCTAGATGCCACAGCCTATCCAAAAAAGAAGATGCTGCGTCTGTGTCATGGCTTTGCTCATCATGATGGAACTGCAAAACAGCCTCCCCTAGATTACACAAGCCCCACAGCCGGCTGTACCTCCCATCTTGATCGGTGGTCTTGAGTCTCTCGCCTGGGCCACCCTCCCAAGATTCCTGTTCCTACCGCTGCCATCGCCATTAGCCGGGCCCGCATTTCCACGACCATGCATGTCGGCCTGGTAACTCTCTGGCGCCGGAGGTGTGGACGCAGGGCGATTGAACGAGTCACTGCCGGGTGCGCGGTACGGCGATCCACGCGCAGCAGCCCAGGCATCAAGAGAGAAGAGAGTAGTGAAATAAAGGGCTAAGAAGGCAAAGATGGTGTCGCCTGTACGAAGGATAATGGACCTAGACGCGTGTTAATCGATGAGGGGGTCTGATGACGCAAGGGGTATCATCAATGCTGTGACATACCTGCTGCCTTCCATGATGGCTTACCAAAGCCGAAGACTCTCAGTACCAGGAGACTGCGCATGCACAGCTGTTGAGGAGAGAGAGAGAGAGAGAAAGAGGTGAAGTTGGGCTGCTGTTGACGTTGGATGTGGTTGCCTGGAAGCGGCAAGGCAGGGTGGCAGGGATATGCGCGTGGACCCGGCGGATGGCGCTAATGCAGGACAAAACGTAGCATTTTCACCTCGACTTCAAAGCTCCATCCATCTTCTCAAGCAACTAGCGCCCAAGCAACCAGTGCTAATCAAACACCTTTGCCATGGGTAACAAAGACAACGATGCCGTCGTCAGCATCAAGCAGCGCCCGAAAAAACCGTGGTCGGACAACACACCTGAGAACGCCAAGGTACAATGGCAAAGTGGCTATAGCTATAGACTATGCCTTGAAGCTAATGCGGCTGCAGAAACGAAAGGCGTCTGCGTCTGTTGTCATGCACCAAACAAAAAGTAACAATAAAAAGAGAAAGGGTGAGGGCCAAAGTGATTCCGTCGACGACATTGACACGTCGAGGCCTACTGCCATTTTCAACCCTACCAAAGGCCGTGATTGGACCGTCACCATTGCTCTGCCAGGCAGCTGGACTCTCAACGCCAAAAAGCCAGACCACAAGACGATGCAGGTGGGGCGCATTGCTCGGGCAGCCGCCATATACTGCGTTGATGAAATCGTAGTCTACGATGACGACCCGAGTAACATTGACCCCAAGGTGGTCAACCCAAAGTATATCCGCGGGCGCACAAAGCAGCAAGTGCTAGAAATGATACCCGAACAAGATGAAGCATGGCAGAACCCCGACCAGTTCCTGTATCATTTGCTATCTTTTGCAGAATGCCCTCCACATCTAAGATACGACCGCGACGATCCGCATTTGAGTCTTTTCAAAGAGCACCAAAATCTTGGCTGGGTGGGTAATCTTCCCAGCATGGACATGCCACATCACTTGAGAAGCCACGAGTGGTGCCAGTACCGTGAGGGCGTTTTTGTCGGGGTTGCGCCAGCACGCAGGGCAGCCACGTGCAAGAGCAACAAGTCGAAAACCACAGATGGAGACAAAGAGGCCTACGTCAAATGCGGCCTTGCGTACCCTGTACGTGTTGGCGTTCCCGAAGACGCGCCGATTGAGCAAGGCATGCGTACCACGATCAGGTTCGCTAGTGCAGATGCACCCGTCAACTGGCCAAACCTTTCACAGGAAGACTGCGATGGTTTAGATGCAAAGGCGTGCGCAGCTAGTGTGCCACGTGAGGAAGGAGGGTACTATTGGGGTTATCATGTACGCCGGGCTGCGTCGCTCGGCGCTGTCTTCTCCGAGTGCGAATACCCCGGCGGTTACGACATTTCCATCGGCACGTCTGAGCGCGGACAAAGCGTGTATTCCTATCTTTCAGGTTCCGGGAAACCTTCCGCGGGACAGTCAGTTGACCCCACCGGCTCGAGTGCACCAGACTCGTTCAAGCACCTACTCATCGTATTCGGCGGACAAGCGGGCATCGAGCTAGCTGTTGCGAACGATGCAGAGCTCGCAAGCAAAGGACTGGACAAAGGCAGCGCGCACCAGCTGTTTGATGCGTGGGTGAATCTGGTTCCTCGACAGGGCAGCAGGACGATTCGGACAGAGGAGGCTGTTATTATTGGGCTGGGTGCGCTCAAGCCATGGATCGACAGTATGTACCAGCAACAGTGACGGTGAGGGTTTTGGCGGAAGACCGCACGGACGGTACGTGCGTTTGTACTGTGACAGGGCTACGACTTGGTAAATAGCATTGTGTGTGCAATGCCCTAGAGGAGCAAAAAAGAAACGAGAAGGAAGAAAAGGACCAAGCAAGAAATGCCAAGGCGTGCGACTAGTTGTTGTTGTATGTCTACGTACTAGTAACTGAGTATGCATGGGCCGAAGCCCGCTCGAAGGCGTGTCGCTGTCGGACCTAGGGCACTTGAAGGAGACTAGGGCTCGGGTACTTTGCTACACATGGGCACGCACCGTGGGGTAGTTGACTATGGGTACATGTATAGATGGTTTTACGACATAGCGGAGAGGAGAAAGGACCGAAGCTGCTGCGCTGTGCAGCATACTTGAACGTTAGCAGGAGTCGGTCGGTACGTAGTAGTAGTAGCAGCAGTAGTAGTAGCAGCAGTAGCAGCAGCAGTAGTAGTAGTAGTAGTAGTAGTAGTAGCAGCAGTAGTACTCGGCATCATGCAGTTGGAAACAGCCGCCCCCAAGTCAGCACAGACGGCGGATGGCGTCAAGTGCCAAGGACGCAAGTAGGCTGAGCTGGCTGACGAGACACGTGACATTGCCAGCCCAAGTGCCCATGTTGCGCAATGCATTTGTATGGCGAACTAGCACTAGCAGGGTGCGATGCGAGCAGCGAGTGCGAGAGCGAGTACAAGTACTTGGCATGGTGGCGAATCTGTCTTTGCGGAGCCTCAAGGAGACAAGCACAAGCACAAGCGCATGCCGGGGCCATGGGGGCTGGCAATTAGCCGTCTTGGTGGATACTGTGAAGCGGTGGGCGTCGTCTGCGACATCAGCCTAAGTCTAAGTACAGTACTTAGTGATAGGTTCAAGTCTCAATCCACCACGTGAGCGGCGGGGCGGCGACGGACACCATGTTTGCATGGGGAGATAAGTAGTCTAACAAGTACTTGGCACTACGCATGTACATGTACATTACATGTACGCGATACGCGTATAGTATAGAACAGAGGGCACAGGGCAGCGGCCACGCCTACCATGTATGTATGTCAACGTCCGGCTTACTCAATCCGGGCTCCTGGAATAGACCAAGTAGATGCAGCCAGGGTATATCTGCCCGGCCTTGCTGCATCGGCCCGGCTCAGGCTTTCCAGCCGCTCGGGGTCGCTACCAGACTTGCTGTCTGCGCCATCCGACGGCCATCCGTTTCCTTATCGTCTGAGGCACTTTACGTACCGTCCTATGCTACGCGATTGAGCCCCTCATGCGCTGTCAGCCCTGCCACTGGGCTGGCCCCATGCATCATGTATCCAAGTAGTACGTACGTAGCATGTATCCATCGTGCTTCTCCACACCAATAGGCCCGTTTCCCTGGCCATTCTCCTCCCTTCTCTCTCTCCCCCTCTCTCTCCCTCTCTCACCCTCCCCCCCTCTCCCTCGATGCACGCGGGGCACTCTAGCTCCGCCTCTCGTTGGGAACACCAAGAAAACGAGGGTATATACGAGCTGATCTCAACCGTGATCGTCAGATCTGATGCCGGCTCTTACGCAGAGACACTTGGATGTTGGGGTAATACGTTCCCCGGATGACGCAAAACCCATGCCGCACACATCGTCGTCATCATCATCATCATCATCATCATCATCATCTTGCACTAGTAACTCAGGCGACGATAGCAATCTTACTAAGATACTTACTAGCCTGGCACCAAGCACAGACGGTGCCGAGTCCTAAAAAAAGCATTCGACTCTCTCGCCGGGCATGAGTAACGGATACATGTACGTACTTCACCCTGTACGCCACCCATGCGGTAGTATAGTGTCTGTCGGCAATATACAAAAGAGGGGTCCTTTTGGGGTCTCAGAACCCATGCCAAGTCCAAGCTATGCGCTGCGCACGACCCAAGCATTACGTACTTACTTGGAGTAAAGATCGACAAATGCGTACTTACTTACCATCCCTACCCATGCTACTGACCATGTACTAATCGTCTTCCACCCACACGTTTGTGCGTGAACGTGCCCAACTGCCACTACCATGTCTATCTATGTACGTAACGGATCGCTCACTCCCCAACATTCACGGACCAGACTTCTCCGAGTCCTACTCAATCCGCGTTTCCGAAAAAAAAAGTCCCTCGTGGGTCTTGCCTTTGGCGCCTATCACGTCAGCCCTTGCTATGAGCACCGTGCAAGGACAACCACCTGATGTACTACAGCATGGAGAAACCAAGTACTGTAAACGACATGCACGTCAACGACTGCCATGCGGGTCCTTGGCTTCGCATGTACTACGGCTGTACCAGAATCTTCTTGGCGCCGCAAACAATGGACGGCTGCGGGGCAACGTGGTGGATGGAGAGGCATAACATGGCAGTGTCGTTATATTATTGGATATCGTGAGTACTATTTGCTATATACATTCGTGGCGGTAAAAATCATAGGAAACCGGTCCCAAGGCATCTTGGAAGGGGCGACTGGTCGCCGATACACAGCTGAAGAAGACCATCGACCCAGGCCAGGTTTTCATACTGCCTTGAAGTAAACTTGTTGACATAGACTTCTTGTAGCGAGCCGGGGCTTCCAATCTGGCCTTTCCAGATGTTGAGGTAGGTGCGCGTGTTTAACGGGTTGCTGACCCAGCAGCCGAACTTGCCTGGCGGCACATCGGCGAACAACGACTGTGATTGCGTGCTTGTAGTCTCCCAAGTCATGGTCAAGTCCACGCTCGCTGAAAAAAAGTCTTCGACAAAATTAAACTCTGCGCCGCCATTGATACTAAGGCTGTTGGTGATTGAGTAGCCAGAGGCTATGGTAATCCTGGTACCAGTGCCTGCGATGCCCTTGACAATCTGGCTCATTTGGACGTCATAGTCGAGGAACTTGTCCGTTCTTCCAGGAATGAGGATGACCCGGTCGTCGCGCTTCGTTTTAGCATTGCGTTTCAATTCGTTCAATTGCGCCTCAGTGTGTTCGACCTTGTTGGCATCGTGGCGCGTTTGGTTTGCCAGAATAGCGTGGTAGTCGCCAAAAAGCCCCTTGAACTCTGAGCGCTTCATGACCTGGATGCGGCCATTTCCGTGAAGGACGACATCGTCTGCCGTGATTACAATGTCACCGGAACCCGCAGCAGGGGCCGGCGCCGCCGTAACCACAGTCGCGCTGGCTACAAAGGCGAGCCATTGAGTCAAAAGCATGGCAGCGATTGGGACAAGAATAGAGTAAGATAGAATCCGCCCCCCCGGAAAATGCGTGCAACCGGCAGAGAGACAAGGAAGGGGAGGAGCGATGTGGATGGTCGGGGGGGTATACTTCTCCCAGGTGTTGTTGAAGCTGGGCCGGGTGGTCTAAAACTTTATAGTATTGTTGCGCGCTTGTGGGTCGTCTTGTCCCCAAGGGCTTGATATGGATGGCGACGGTGAATTAGCCCAACTGCAGTGAGCAGCGATTTGCGCCGAGTCACGACATGGGCACCTTGATAGCAAGAGATTGCCGTGCCTGGAGCCGCCATCTCATGAGTGACTTGGCGTTGTGGGGTTGTCGTGCGACTCAAGGACCAGGCCACTATGGCTGGCTCCCTCGTACTGAGCATCCTCGGTCAATTAGTGTTTCGTCTTTGCAGGCGTCCGAGTAGTAGGTACAGTAGGCTGTTCAGGCACGCAATTCGCCCGAAGTTGCCCGATTGGATAGCAGAGCAAACACCCGCTCCATGTTCGGCCCGAAGCGCACAGCACATCAGCGGTGTCTTGACCTGTCGGCGTCGCTTTGCACCCAAGTGGTACTAACGGCCAAAGGTTTCCACCCACCAGAGTGCCTTTCTAGGGAAGTGGTTCGGAAAACCTTCGTTCCATTCGAGAACCATGCTTGTCTTCCTTGGAAGCATCCTGGAGGCATCACCGCTGTCGCCCCTCACGGCCACTTCCAGGGTTGCAGTTCTTGGCCACAATCACACCGACGCAACCAACGGGTCGCCTAGCCTCCTAAACCGCGTGTATACTACGATAACAGTGGGGAGGCAGAATCGGTAAGCGTCGTCTTCTCTATTTATTATACCTTCGCACTTCATCGACAACCATCATCAGCATTCACCCCGTCGCCTCCCCCCTCTCACACCAACGGACACCATTCAGAAACATTGCGACCATGCATCGCTCCCTCCTTGTATCCGTTTTCTTCTTGGCTTTCTTCAATATCTTCGCCTCAGCGGCTCTTCACAGCGCGGCTCTTTGTGTCAACTACATGAATTCCGCTGTCGTTATTAATGCTGCAGCCACGGAAAAGGCTTGTGGATTCTACTCGGTACGAAACAAAGGTCCCGAACAGTGGAATACATGCTCAGAGTGCAAGACGGCAAGTGAAGAGAGAAGCAATGATGCATTTGCATAGCTGATGCGTGATACAGAAAATGATTAACAAATTGCTTACCTGCCTTTCGCCTAATTGGCACATTGGAGGTGATGAAATGGAATACTATTGCAAGCTGTCTGGCGCCCAAGGAGCCCTTGCCAACTAAGGACCCCCAGACCGTTGATTAACGATGAATCTTACGGTCCTCATGTCACACCCTACGCACACGAATCCTTGATGACTCCAACACGGTTACTACCACTACTACTACTACCACCACTACTTGAATGTATATACTACACTTGAAAGCACCCTTCAAAGCAATTGTAAACGAATAATATAAAGCTCAGTCCTGAAAACTCATGCACTAGGCCCGTGACTAAGGTGATTGTATCCGATTGTGGCATTTGCAACACCAGACCATGTTACATATCAATCATCGCCTGAGTCCCCACCGAGCCCTGCTGTCAGTGCCATGGACACTAGCTGAGCACGGGCCAATACTCCAACACCACTTGCACATGGCGCGAACGCTTACTTGGCGCATCAAAAATCGCGCTTTGCTAGCGGCGAAAGCCGCAGGGCCCAAGCTTACGGCACATGGCACATGGCACATGGCACATGGTGCGTGCCCATGTTTCTAGAAACCCATCACCTTCTCTTGTTATCGCAGAAATCGTGATTCTTCTCAACTACCTTGCCTCTCGATGAGTTGGGCCAACCAGAGCACCTAAGCACTTCCAATCCAAATCTAAAAGTCTACCGGTAAAGATTCCCATTCTTCAACATGGCTTTCTGCTGAGTTCATCTTGTTCAAAGAGCTCGGAACTTGCAGTAGGGTGTACCCAGATGTAAGCAAATGACAGGAAGCGCGCAAGAATGCGACCATCTAAGCGTGCTGTTGAGAAAACTATCCTTTAATGGTAGGAATGCAGGGGACTCACATATTTTATATTGAAAAAGAACTTCAGCAAAGTAAATTGAGAGCGAGTATCAATTGCATTCATAGGGAAATCCTCCCTAGAAATTTACACAAACTAGCTATGGACATTTGCACAAAGCTCTAACTTCCCACTAGATCCCTTATCTAGGTAGTAGCTTCTTGCGATTAATCTAGGTGGTTCCTTTGCATAGTTTTTGTAACTTATAGCTAGTGTTGTTCTCACAAGAAACCTGGCTGCAGTGGCTACTCTGTCCGTTCTGCCTGCTGCTACGCTGCTTTGGCTGTTCTAACCTTTCTAGAGTTCGTTCAATAATGAGCCTTGGCGTAATGAACTGACGATAGATATTCCTAGTGTCTTTGTAGACTTTCTTACAGCTAATTAGCGTTAATTGTATCAATTCTAATTTGCCATTAAAGCCTGTGTGCAAAACACATAACTAAGCTATGCGTAACAAACCTTAATACGCAGCTGAAGCTGCAACTACAAAAAATAAAGATAATACATCAGATGTAGTAGCGAAGCTTATAGAGTTCCAAATTCGTTGTATGGAAGTGATTTAACTCGGCTCAGCCTAGTTCTCTGCAGCCCTATACAGGAGCTAATAACGCGGGTGCGGAAGCGCAGGGGCTAGTACACAAACTAAGGCACAGCTATAGCGGAAAGCATATATTCTAGGCATCATGGAACCTGGTACGTGCCTTACTATTAATGTACAATACATAATGGTTTAATTTAGACTATAGCCTATATCGATCCATCCTATACAAGTGCTTGTATTTAGTGATAGATATTTAATCCACACGCTAATTTTCTCAATTCAGCCCTATATGCACGTAGTGAAATGTTGCAAGAAACACGGCCTGACAGCAGACAAGATTTTTGAAGTTATCCACTAAATGTATAAATGAAGCTCTAGAGCTACAGATGTATACACGACTATAGCAGTATGAAGAGGTATTGCGTCACATCTTCTAGCAATTAAATAGTTGACAGGCTATATGTTCATGACTAAATCCAACCTCATTTGTACTTGTGGGTAAATCAATATTTAAGCCACTATTTACATACTGCATAGTCAGTCTGCTCTAGACACTTGTACGAGGTATAAACCGCTAACACTCTGCTTAGGAACCACAGGTATCATGCCATCGTGCAACAGAACCACTCATAATGTACACAGGCTAGTGTCGATAAAGAATGAAACTTTTCGGAGCCTGGCGCATTGACCAGATTTGGCAGTTCACCGGTTTTTAATCACGGCTTCAGGGTTCACAGCATCCGGTACGGAGGCGTGTATAGAAGCAAGCGGTGTCATCACCACCCAAATTTACTAGTTGTAATTTTGAATCGTCTCAAATCATACTCAAGTTCAGCAGCGTGGGTTTCTGAACTCCCTCTTCGACCGCTCAGCTGCATGGCTGTTCGGCTATCCACTGGAAAGATGCAGCTGCATCGCCCAGACCAGGAAGATTCCCATTTCCGACAATCAGTCGAATGGACCTCATGAAAACGCTCTACCAACTGGTTCCTCCTGCCGCAGAAAAGCCTTAGGGTACACTCTTAACACAGTGTCCGTATGGCCGTTCGTTTCCAACCTCATTTCAGGCAAGGATCTTTGCTGTGTGGGGTTACAACATATTCTTGGTCAGCTGCCGTCGTAAACTGGGCTCAGGCGGTGAATTCGATGCTTTTTTTTACAGAGATAGAAGACGGGAAAGGCGCGGTGGAATGAATGCAGGAGTGGTATGATACTACTTTCGTGACCATTGACGGGTCTTGTCTCGGCTTGGTTTAGGTGGCATTGCTTTGCGACCCGCCAGAAGACATGGTTGCTGCAGTAGCTACGGTTAGCCCACACTACTTTGCACAGGATACCTGGGGGAACTGGTACCTTGGATATGAACATTGTGAGGTGGGCTGGTAATGTGGTGCACCAGGAAGAGTCCTATTTCCTGTGAAGGAGTTCGAAATCGTGATAGTGATCTAAAACCATAGAGGCTGCTCTTAGGACTGTTCCTATAGCGCAGAATATCGAAGATGACATTGGCAAAGGTGATCCGTGGTTGCGCAAGATAGCCACAACAACCAACATATCTAATCCTCACTACGCACTCATATGTTTGGTGCAAGCAATACGACGTATGAATGTACCAGTGCTCATTGGCATATGATAAAATGGTTTATTTATTGAACAGTCAATCGAGCAATATCTCAAACTAAAAGAAAGAGGATGTGATGTTGCCTTGACTACGGAGCTTTGGATACACCTGACGAGCGGCGTCTCATTGAAGCTAAACCAATGGAGTTTTGAATGGATCGAAGAAATTTCAGGGGAAGTGCTGAGGCGAGGCGTACACATCCAGTCGAGTACTTTGTAACCAGCTCTGAAAAGTGGAAAAGTGCATCTGTATATCCCCCACGACTGAATCTTCCGTTCTATACTTCGAGCCGAGCGATAATCTCACAGAACATCTCATATCAAAATAAAGCGATCATTCGAGCTTTACAACATACCACCAACAGCCTACCCCGACAACGGGAGGCAACGGTCTCCTGGATGCTAGGGTTATTAACGAAAGCGTGCTCGCTACACGAGGTAATGAGTATAGGTTCGAAAAATAACATCTGGAAGCAGACATGGAAATATGCGGCAAGCCTGTTGCCGAGCTGTCCCACTCAACTAGCGCTTCATACGCAGACGTGTTCGTACGCATCTGTGAAGTTGACGGGAGAGGGAACTCCTGAAACATCACAGAGGCTTCCAAGCGCTTAGATGAAAAGCGGGATCCTGCTGTAAACACCACGGTCTTGCTGAGCCCCTGTGCTCACCGGTTTGTCAGAGACAAGAGGATCAGGATCATAGTTGCAAGCGGTAACTCCCGGTAATACGCCATGTAACGGCGCAG